GAGGGCGATGTATGTGGGCGTGAGCCCAGTACAACAGCTGACTGAGTTGTCATTCGAGGCCCAGGTTTCAATTAGTTCTCATCCTGTCTTGCTGCCAGCGTGAGCAATTACCTCTACGGCCGCGAAGTTAAAGTCATGGCCTGTCTCGTGGGTGTGGGCAGCCACTTGCGACAATGCGTCACCCCGTCTGACAGTCTGTTCGTGTACGCGCACCAAGCATGCATTCAGTCTGTCCGGCGTAATTTCGGGGACAGTTCCGACATAGTATGCGATACACTACACCCGACTAGGATTTAATCGGTCCTTTATTTCCATGATCCGGCTGTGCATAGTAGCCGTGGAACGGTGTGCAAATGCGACGCTTAGTCCCGCAGAAATGCGCTCGGTCGCTTCCGACATATGCTTGACGTATGGCAGCCTATGCCATATCGTACAGCTTGGTTCTGGTTGGATGCTCAGAGGGCGGGAACGTCGGCATCGGTTTATGAAGGCCTTCGAATAGCCATTCAGCATAAACTAATTGTGGAGATATTAGGCCTTCCATGCATTTTCTTCCGCTTTGCTGCAGTGGCTCGGGATTCTTTTGAACAGCTTCATTTGTGAGACGCCGGATAATGTTTGTGAAAATGGAGGAGCTATATGGTGTTCGTCGCCTTCTCGCAAACCGTTGTTTCTATCTGGCCGTTGGAAGTTCGCACGACGAGTAAATCAAGAAGGGGTAGCTGCAACTCCTTTTCTTATCCCCTCCTGGCTTGAATATCTGGGAATATCGAGTTAAGAAGATCATGGAAAAGTCGGCAACCAGTTACTTTTGACGATTACAAACGTGTCGTCAACGTACCGACGGCAAAATATAGGGGACTTTGGGTAAAGCAATCTTTTCCAGTTATTGTATGACCAATTCTGCCACTAAACTAGAGATTAGAGACCCCAATGGAGTTCCCTTGATCCGTTCATAAGTCGCTCCTGCAAAAGTGAAGTATGACTTAGAGAAAATTCGAACAACCTCATGAAGTGCTCAATTTTGAGCGAACTATGAGTTTAGTCGTACAGTTGTTAGCGGAGGTCAAATTATCATGTTGATTATTTGTTCGAGTGCAGCTGATCATAGGATAAAAGTTGTCTCCCCTCTCCTTCTTCCTAGCTGCCTGTTGCGCGAGAATCATTCACTCCAAATGCCTATCTGCAGTATGTGTCGGGGCGGACCCCACCGACGCCGATGAGCTGCTTCGTCATATCCTTGACATTTTTGCCAACATACTTGACAACGCAGTCGCTGCAGATATGAGCGCCTTCGCGGACCAGCTTGTGAATATGGTAACTTTCCGTCGACCCCTCATATTATTGCTTTTCATCGGCTTCCTTACCTTCTGCCCCCTGTACACCTTATCGTTCAGGACACCCTTGGATTCCTCCGCGGAGCTTTCTTGCATCATCTCGCGAGAACTCGAGTCCAAAAGTCACGCCAACTGCGCAATGACATTCTGGCCTTCGTAGTGCATTTTACTTGTTTCTTGCGGGAGGAGGACCTCACTGATACCGTGGCCCAGATACTGGACATGCTGGGCTGGGACTTTCTTCACAGTCTTCTCGACATCCTTGTGGGCTTCCGAAGTAGGTCCAACAGCTCAGAACCGATTATATTAGCGCCCACTTTAACCTCATAAACGTTGTTTTTGGCCCAGCAAACTACTGACAGTGGTTCTAAATTAATTTCGCTTACTAAGCATGTATAGTAGGTATGCCGCCTGGTGAAATTTTAATCAAAATTCTGAAATGTGTATTCGATTTTTAATGCTAATTATCGTGCAGCCTTATCCAAAACTATTTTAGTAAAGTCGGGAAGCCGGCTTTTAAACATACATCTTTAAAGCCGTCTGCAAGATGGACAACCTGTAAAAAGTGTCTACTTAAGTAGTAGTAAGTAGTAGTACTTAAGTAGTATGCGTTCTGTTTTTTCATTGATTTACGATGACCGTGGGAATCTGGTATAGAAAGGAGGCAAGAAAAATTTTTTTCTGGTACTCGTCTGGTAGAAAATTATCTTTTTTTCAGGTTGTATATTGGAAGGGAGGGCAGCCTTCTGTTTTTAAAAAAAGTTACAATTCCCGAATCATCTGGAACACAGACTTGCAATCAGGATTTTCGGTAAAATTCTCTTATAGGTAACACACCGTAACGGTAAAAAAGGAGTGTAGCTAACAAGGATTATGTAGGTGGGGCATCACGGGAATGCAGGAGAGAAAATAAAACAAATATACCACAAAAAAAAACACGAAAAGTAGACAAAAATAGTCATAAAAGCTAATACATGGCAGCGAAAAACCCCGCACAATAATTAAAAAATAACTGCAAATATGAAAAATACATCAAAGCAACGGATAAAATAAAAAAACCCCACCATTACTACCGGTCACGTATAACGGAGTTCTGTTGCCAATTCTGCCTAAGGAAGGTCGCAAATTTATCTGAACTATCAATACCTCCCGAGCCAAACTGGGGCGAAAATGAGCCCATGATTAGCACGTTGGATTTCTGATCAAAAGGTCGCGAACGCGAGCCTCGGCTGGTGCACCACTTGGGGCTGGATATGACTGGCTGACGACAGCTTATGAGCCAGAAATGGCCACCTTCCAGTCTTTCTTGTCATTGGTAGCAATACTATCTGCTGGTTTGTCGGAACCCGAGCAGGCAGTTGCTTACTTATTGGGGAAGAGGATGGTGTCTGTCAGATTTGGGCTCGGTGTAGGGCAGGCCATTGTTGCCTGATAACTAAAAATATACTTTCTAGACTCATAGTCACCAATACAAGCGAATATGCGAGTCCCAGGAAGTAATTGAGAAGAAGACGGCTCGATCGTTGGGACAATACGTTTATCCGCCTGACGTTTCGAGATCCGTCGCGGATTCGTCATCAGGGACATAGCCAAACAGCAGTAGCAGAATCGGGTAAAACATGCACCGTGGGTTTGCAGTATTTATAGGACACAGTCATTACTGCAAGCATACAGAGAAATTTACGTTAATTGCCTTCTCGTGCGTGGATAGTTTGTTGGAGGGCATGCGGGCTCTGACCTGTTGAACTTTCATCACGCGTACTGGACTGGGGTGTGATGATTGCTCAGTCATCTGGCCCTGTGGTGTTTGCTTAGGCCTATCCGCACCCCAAGTGGCGCCTTGCTTTGGCCAACTTGAGTCTCAGCACCGAATAAGGAATGGGCAAATCTCTGTACTTGTTTAAGGATTGGGGGCTCGTGAACCATGACTCAAGTAATTCTCGGCTAACCCGATTGTCC